AGAAACCATTCCTCCACAGTAGAAAAAAAGAAAAAAAAAAAAGAAAAAAACCATCACCACCCTTTTGACTTTTGTAAGTTAAAAAACAAACCAGTCTAAAGTTTGGACACCTCATTTTCTAAACACTTCCAATTACACACTCAAACTTTAACACAGAGAAACCTATACTCCTTTAGATCCAATGTCTGCATCCCACGTATCAAAGGCATTCACAGCCTCAAGGAAAAAGAACCTAACAACCCAAAACTAGATGCAAAATTCTTTGTTTCTATTTAAAACAGTGACATAGAAGGCTTGTAGTAGAGTAGGGTAGTATCCACCCTAATTCTAGACTGCATCAGGGCCAAAACTATGCCCAGCAACCTTCAGGGAGCCCAGGCTGCAGCAGATACCTCTAGTCATAACAGCATCTCTGTCACACATTCTACAGTGCCAATAGTAATTGCCAATAGTAATTCAGACACATGGCAGGGTTGGAATTTAAACAGGATCCTTGGCAAAAAGACTGCAGGTTTCTCACATCAGAGAACCTAATAAAATTCCCTCAGTAAGATACCAGGATTTTTTAAAAGCCAGTAAGAACTCCATAATTAGACCTTTTGACATTATCCCCAAATAAGTAAAATTTCCTACAGATGACATACTCCTCACACTACCATCTTTGGTTCTGCATGTTGATACTTTTGGTTTTTAACTCAATTATTCTGTAGTTTTTGTGGTTGGGTTGGGTTTTTTTCCTTTCTGCAACAGACAAATTATTGAAAAGACAACCACTTTATCCTAGTGATTTTTAATAACTTCAACTGCACTAACAAAAATACACAACTAATTATTACATAATTACATTAGATATTAATCTCATACTTTTGTGTCCAGAAACCATTCTGAAAAGAAAGATCTTGATGAACTATGACAACAGATTTAAAACTGGAATAAAATCAAATGCATAGCTGATTTAGTAGCGCTGCATTTACAAAAATTTTACCTGGGAATTTTTAATTAAAAATACTTACTCAATTCCACGGAAACAGTATTTTCTTCTAAACTGAAAAACACTTTGAACCACTTTTTCTACCAGCTCAAATGGCTGCTCTATCTTTGGTTGCACCAATGGAGTGAAATGCACCACAGCCACATCCACCTATACAGAAAAGAAAGATAAATTAGAGTAGACATCTTCCTCTGAGACACATTACTTCTAAGTTACCTGGCTAGACATCAGCAAACAGGCACAATATAGGAAGTCATTCTTGCAGGAGGTAAGCCAGCTGTGGAATGACTAATATCATGGTATGGAATAAAAAGATTTGCCTTAGCTTTCAAGACTCTGCAGAATTTTAGTCTTAGTTATCTACATATTTCCAATTAGTTCACATGCCATCAGTACTTAGTACTTTTTACCCCCATGGCACTTTGTCCATTTAGAGCAACTTTCATGTAATCTGTAAAGTAATTAGCACTTCTGTCTTCAGATCCTTCCACAAGATAATTCTGACAGAATACACAAATTAGATAATATTTGATACACAGGCTGAAGGGCAGCTGGAGAAAATTGGTATTATAATTAGAAATCAAACCCATTCCCTATAAGTTTTCTGTTGCTCCAGGGCTTTTCTAAAATGTAAGCCAAGGAATTGCTTTTCAATGTTTTAAGATTTCTATTCTATTTAAAGGAATTTTAGGTAGAAATAAGTGCACTCAGTTTAAGTGACCACACAATTCTGTATTTACACCGTGTATCACAGTTCATCCAAAATGTTTGACTGATTCCACAAAGATAAGCTTGAATAGATTCTTTTATAGTTCTCAAACCAGACTGGTTCACAGAATAGTCACTTGCTTTGTGTCTGAAAACAGACTGAAATAATATATACACACTTTATATTTTTTATGTGAGTGTGTATATATATATATATATATGTATGCCATGCAACTATATTATATATTATAACTGTATTATATAGAAACTTTCTGAATTCAGACTTCTGTATTAAAAATTAGGAGCTGGACTAAAACTCCACTTCTGCACAACAACAAATAAAGCAGTTAATCTTCCAAACTAGAGATTAACAACAATAAAAAGGAAACATTTCTGTGGGGGAGCACATTGAAAACTTGTACGATGTGTACAAGTACTGTACAAATTTGTAAGTACCAGATTAAAAAAAAAATAGTCTCTTATTAAAAAGAGTCTGCTGAAATGACAGGCAATCACTGAATTTTTAAAAAAGATCTGACAGTCAATACTGGCACTCACAGAACATGAATTTATCATCACACGTGCTAGTTCTGACAGAAAAAAGAGACACAATCAGACCAAAGAACAGCTGCTGCTTGAACCACAGTCTCAGTGTACCAATTGTTCAAGATAACCCAGAGCGTGAGAGTACTTCAAAAAAGAAAGTGTTCCTCCTACTGCTTCAACCAAAACTCCTCATAGCAACTTCTGATGTGAACATAATCTGACACAAAGGTACCATCCCATCCATTTTCTTATTTCTGTGGGAACAGCTCAGCTGTTAAGTACATCTATCCAGTACAAATGCTTCTACCACACAAATTTCAAAGGAATTTTAAAATCTAAACAATATAATTTTTTTCATGTAGATATAACTTACAAAGCTGAGCAAAAATTCTGGCTAGAGAAAAGAAATAAAATACCAATTAATGGTGATGATGAAGAAAAAACCCACAGCAAGTTCCCAGTGTTAGCACTGCTGATCCCAAGTATATACTACTGGAGTATTTAGTTGTCCACCTTCTCTGAAAGCTAGAGTTAAAAATACAACAGAAAAAATACTTAAAATTACTGAAATGTGAAACACAAGAGTGTATTTAAAAATCAGGTGACAAAGAAACTTGACATATGGAATCTGCAGTGAAACACACATAATTTATTTCCCAAAGCAGATTTTTAATTTCTCAAGTGTTCAGAGCACCTGACTTTGCTATGGGTTGCTCCTATACGGAAGACCACAGGGATATAGAAAAAAAACTTGTGTTCACATTGAGTATAAGAAAAGTTAATCTTTTTGAACAGAACAAAGACACACTTCACATATCCAATCAGCTCCTTGAACAGAAATACTAAGGGCACATGCAGATGTTTATCTACATTTTGGTCAGGAACTATAACAAGGTATTACCCCCACAAAATTAGGGGTAAGAAAACAACCAGAGTCCATGTGGCATCACCTAGTCACCTCAATTTTGCTGAAATGCTCATAAGTGAGAAATAAGGGCTCTTTGGGAGTCAGCGCCACATCTTGAACAAAAATTTCTGAAGGAAAAAAAACCACATAATCTAGATACTGTGTACAGCTTTAGAGCCAAACAGCTCAATCTGCTATCTCAAGGCCAGTAGGCAATAATTTCTGCTTCTGAAACAAAACACAGCACTTCTCAGCTCCATTATAGACACGGTTTTCTTTGGACCCCAGGAAAGCTGCTTGGTTACTATAGCAACAGATACAGGGGAAAGCTTTTCATTTGTAAATGGCCACTCCTTTAAAATCATACATGCTATTTTCCCCATACCTTTTAATATGTATCAAATAGAGAGTAGAATTATGAAAGCCAATAGAGTACATAGGAACACTTAAAATACACATCTTGATTTGATAACTTTACTAGTAATGCTTTTCACCCAACCAAGTATTTTAGAAATATTTACAAAATAACACTCAAGTCTTACAAAATAGTGAATAAGAAAATCATTCAATTGATACATCCCAAATTGTCAAAAGTACAGCAATTATTCACCCCTTACTGTTTTAGTACAACTGTACAATGAAGGCTTATGTTCTGGTAGGGTAGGAGGAACACATAACAGTGTACAATTTAATTCACACAAGTCTGCTGCCTTGCTAATGAAATCAACACACTAAATCAGAATAAGCTTAAGTGAGACAATTTTTATTAATTGCTGACAACAAAGGTCTCATAATGGGCAATACATGTACCTTGCAACAGGGCTGTATTAAAAGCAAACCCACATAACCTTTCCTCAAGATGTCATTTACTCACAGGGAACTAAAACCAAAGCAGAATATATTACAATTTCATTAAAACAGACTGCTTGAGATCCTACTGAGATAGTTCTAAGCCAGCACTTTCACAATCCAAGTATTCAGTACTATTTTATCCGTCTACTACAAATGTTAGGTCTAACACCAGATATGTGCAACAAATAGCACAATCTTGTTCTGATGAGAGTTTACTTTTGGCTCACTTCCAGCAGAAAGTAACTATGCCTCCACACTAATAAAACTAATTTCTGTGTAAGAACAGCTCTGCAGTAAGTCCATTCACACCAGGCTCAGAAACAGAATCACAAGAGACACGAGGTCAGGTACAGAACCTGTGGGTATATCACTGCTGCAATGAGCAAGACCTTTCTCCCAACTTCTTGATTTCTCACACCAACTTGTCGAGGCCACATCTCTGATGTGTTGCATTTACCATGGAAGCCTTATCAGTGGCTTTATTCCCTTATTTTTTTGTACAGTCTTATACAAAGGTAACAAGTTACAGGATAATCTATGGAAGGCTAAAGCTATCAGGAACTGATAAGCAAAGCCTGCAGTTGAACAGAAGTGTCCTGCTGGTCCAATTACAAATTAAAACAAATTGTAAAGTTCTTTTCTAGTAAACTTAAACTCTTAATAAGATTATCTGTGATGAAAAAAACAACAACTGACAAACAAGAAAACTCTCGGGTTCTCAGTACAACTTAAATGATTTTTCCCCCCACCTGTAAGTCTACAGTTTCTGGATTCTCAAGATTTTACTCCATTTAATCACTGCTCACACTTTCCATCATAGAACCTGGGCATTATTATGTATTTAGGACTAAAGGCCGCCGTCAGTTTTATTCCATAATCTCTTTGCTTTCCCTTACTGAGTGTTTTTCAAACAAAACTCATTAAACAAAGTACTCCTTTATTCTCGGTTAGATGGAACTAAGAGAGGGAACAAACAGCAGTAATGCACTTGCTGTGGAGAACAGAAAAAAAACAACATTCCAAGAAATTTTGTTAATACATGCCAATGCAGTTTTATATGAGAAGGGATAGTTGCATTCAAGAGAAACTGCATTTACCAGGACATCTACAGTGAAGAAAACATCTCAGACCTCACAACCAGCAGTAAGTCCTTCACAAACATAAATGAAACATAACTGTTTTTTAAATTACAACTGTAGTGTTTATACTTGAAATTATCATACCTTTAACTTGGTTCACCCCATTAAATGTAATGTATAGCTACCATTTGCAGTGTTTTGCTTGTGTGTTTTTATATACTGATTTTTAAAAAGCAAGTAATGAAAAAGGCTGATTGAGAATACTGATTAGCTTTTTCAGAACATGAATGAGAATATGAATGAGTTTTTGAATGAGTTTTGAGTGACCCAGACCTGTCAGTTCCTCCTGTAAAAGGAAGTTAAGCCATCTTTCCCAGGGGCCTGTACAGCAAATGATATGTATCTGCCAGAACATCTCTTCCCAGCATGAACAAACTGAAGGGATTTGGAAATAGGCAGGTCTTTGAAATAAGGTTTTAACAATGAATAGCTGTTAGTATTTTCACCTTAACTTTAAGTATTTTTAATATATAGATGCTGGACCAAGTTAGCGCATCCTTGAACAATTACCTGAAATAAATACAATACAAAAATATTAGCGTATAAAGATATAAATTATATATAGAGAGAAAAGATAGAGAATTAAACTATATATTATAAAAGAGGATAACAGTGTTATACTTATAAAAGATAAATATATAAATTAGTTCGGAAATGCCACTAAAGACTGATAGAATACATAATGATCAAAACCTTGTTGTCTTATGCTTAATGAACTGAAACAAGAGTACAATACTACAAATATTTTTGTATTCCCCTTATTTTAATTTTATTCCTTATTATTATGGATTTTCAAATGAGTTCTAATGCTGAAGACCTATTTTAATATCATTGTACCTATTTAGCTTGAAAGTCTGGATCATGCTGTCTAAGACAGAAGCCTGCCCTTTGTATACTACTGATAAAAGACAAAACCTACCAATTATACAGCCCCATGCAGAAGGCAAAGCAGGGTACCACTTTTTAATCCTCCTCTCAGAGGTTTCAAACCATGTTCTGCATCTGTAATCCAACAGTCCAGCTGAGGTGACAGCAACAGTTCTGTCTTCCCAGCTGTACAGTAATCACACTGCCCAAAATGTTCTCATCTGTCAAATGAAACTGGACTCCTTATAAAAGAATAGCAAGGAGCTTTTAAAATTATTTTTATTAATTGCCACTTCCGGCAGTTTGCTAAATGGTAAATTTGCAAATTATTTTAGACAGGTGACTGATTAAAAAAAAGGCACTTCCACAAATAAGCTGTTCTTTACCAGTATTAAAAACATTATTTTAGAGACAGAAGAAGACCAAATTCAGTCTTATGGCTTCCTAAATATTGCTAATTTAAGTCAAGGAACAGAAATCACTGAAAATAAAAAACTGGCAAGTTTAAATAAAAATTAAATAAAATTAAATATTGATTTAGAAAAGTCATGTGACTAATTGTGAAAATGCAAAACCTAAATTCTATTTTATTCTCCTCCAAAGCCAAGATATTTTGTAACATTTAATAAAAAGATGAACGGGTAATATTTAAAAAACAGAAATAAGGGGTTACGCTTAATCATAATTAAAATAGGAGATAGTATAACAGTACCCATTGTTATAAAAAACAGCTGACTACAGCTATCAAGACACTTAAACAAGGTACCTGAAAAGTACAATATATTTTCTACCAGTGTGTTTTCCTACCACAATGACTTCTCATCTGCAAGTTTCTAGTGTTCCATTTACAATGTGTATTTGTCTAGTAAGCATGCAATGTGTATGCTATATTACCAAAACCAACTGCAGTAAAGTAAGTTTTGCTTGATGGCTTGCAATCATGTATGAAAGGGCAGCAGCTCCTTTTTACAAGCAATTCTAAAGCACTGTCCATTTGCCATCATCTCTGTTCAAGTACCTTGTGTACAGCAGCTCAGCTGCTGCAGGGTCATATTAGATATTCATTCAGATAGCTCTAATTTTAAATGCAAGCTTTTTTGTTTGCTGATTTCTTTTCCTTTCCCCCTCCAACTTCTCCTCCTCCCCTTTCCTCCGTGTTGCACAGACGGCCACAGCTTGGCTACGAAGCTCACAGTTACTCATTTCCACGAGAGAAAAGGCAGACAAAAGGTGACAGAAGATAACCATCATGGCATCAGCAAGTCTGCAGTTCTTTGCTTTTATTCTGGCTTTGTTTGGTGTTTTTGGAGATATCGCAGCCACCTTGCTACCCAACTGGAAGGTAAATGCAGACGTTGGCTCAAATATCATAACAGCTATAACACAGATGCAAGGACTTTGGATGGACTGCACGTGGTACAGCACTGGGATGTTCAGCTGTACCCTGAAATACTCGATTCTCTCTCTCCCCGTCTACATCCAGGTTGCACGGACCACCATGGTACTGTCGTGTATCCTATCAGCCTTTGGGATCTGCATCACTACAGTCGGAATGAAATGCACAAGGCTGGGAGGGGATACTGACAGCAAAAATAATGCTTGTTTTGCTGGAGGAATCTGCTTCATTCTTGCAGGAATCTTTGGATTAGTACCAACGTGCTGGTACACAAGAGAAATTATTTCCAATTTCCTGGACCAGACCGTTCCAGAGAGTAGTAAACACGAACCGGGAGGAGCAGTTTATACTGGATTCATCTCAGCGGGTTTTCTGCTTATCGCAGGTGTGATCTTCTGCTCTTCCTGTTTTAAAAGGCAGCAAGGAGCATGGATTTACCCTCCGAAGCAGCACCATTTCCCATCCACAGAGCAGGAGAGCAATGCAGGTTACAGCCTGAAGGACTACGTATAAATAAATAGTTACTTCTATCCATTGAAGTATTTCTATTCATTCAAGGGGGCTTTTTGTGTGTTAAGTGTAGCTTGGTTATTTCAATGAATGTATAACATAGCACTTAATCTTTCCTGTATCTGGGTTGCAGTTATGCTTATGCAAGGTATTTCATTTATAGGGGCATCCACAAAAAGGAAGGAGTGGGAAAAGATACTTGTCTGCTATTAGAGTACTTTATTTTGTTGATTTTTCAAACCCTTCTTTCTGACTTCCCAAGTTACACTTGTTGAAGAAAAAGGAGCTATTCTAAAAACATAACTGACTGTACAATTCATGCATCAATGTCTTGTTACAGCAAAGATGATTAAAACCTAACTGCTTTCTGTTTAGTGAATCAGACTTTCAATAATATATGACATTTTACACCGTATTTTACATTTCTATCTTGATTTCATTTATGATGCAAGGTAAGAAAAACCCAGAAACTGTTTGTCCAAGAAGCCCAATTCAAAGGTTTTAAAAAAGCGGACACATCTGCCTTTCATTTTCAATTCTAAATTGCCTTGGTAACTAGATTTTGTAAAAAAAAAAAAAAAAAAAAAAAAAAAAAAAAATCAACCAACCAAAACAAATCCACAACAAAAGCTCAAGGCTCCAAACCTCAGCTGCACTGTAGACTTTGCATATCAGGCTGATGGATCAGCAGTACCATTCAGCTCTTGCCAAAACCAGCTCTCCTGCCCAAAACTGCCACCTGCTGTGGGTTTCATTTATTATTGTTAAAGGAAAGTGTGCTGGACATCCACCAATAGCTACTAATCTATCACTACACAGTGAATGTTAGAGATGAGCAGTAGTACAAGAGAAATGTAAACATAACTGTGAAAACACCTGCAAATTGTAATGAATAGGATAGAAGCCAAATTATCTATGTTCAAGAAACATCTGTAAACATTCTGGCTTACACTTGCTAAAGGCAGTTATTAACAGCTCAAATAACACAGTAACCACTTACTGCCTTCTACATTTCTGACCTTCTCAAAGAACCTTTTAAGTCCTTTTAATTATTCATGTAGGATCTGTTCCAGGCCCACTCCCAGGTATTCTATTACTATAAAATGTACTATACAACAGTAAAAAAGAGACAGCTTCTCTATTCTTTTAACTGTCTTACTTTGAATAATTACCTTAAATCCTTTAACCTTTTCTTTAAACACACAGTTTTTTTTGTATTGGTCACTGGCCAGTGTGAGACCTAAATATTTCCCTAAGTGAGAACCAAATCAAGAATGAAAACAGGTATGATACAGGCCTTTAGATTTAGGAACATAATGCTGGATGAGTCTCTCAATAAAATCAACTGCTATTTATTCTGCATATTTATACACAACTTTCATTTCCCACAGTACTAGTCTAAACTTTGCTAAAAGACCATGAAGGAGCCTAAACATAAAATGTTTGGTATGTTGGGAAAAGATGTTTTACTACAGCATTTGATAAAGTGGACTATTTTATGGACTTAATATGTAAGTAGTCTTTATTCATAAAGAGTCTTCATTTTTCACACACAGAATGGCATTACATCTTGTTTTTATTCTTCTGTTACATACCTATCTTGAGTTTCCTACGTTTTAATCAAGGAGCTTGATTTGCCCTATTCCTAATGCAACTATCAGCAGTTATTAGATATTGCAGAGACTTCACTATGACCAAAAAGCAAATTTCTTTTTTTCCTAGACACAATGTTGTGCAGTACCATTCCATTAACCAAGAATCTTTTATGTCTCAACACTCATAGCAATGTTGAAATAATATGCATGCATTGAGCAAATGAGGTAAACAACTCCTTTACACAAACATGCATCTCCACCTTTAGAAAGGGGTTTGACATGACACTAAGCCATGATCACTACCATGTGCATGAGTTAAATCTGTTTGCAAAAATTATAATCAAGAGGCATTTTTACAGGAGGGTGTAAGGAAAAGGTACTAATGGCATAACATGAGCACAACAAAGTTTATTGGTTACACATGCTGCAAATTTTTCTTCCTGAAACTTTATATAAAGTAGCTGTGCTATGAAACAAAAATAAAGGACAGAGCCATTTCATTCACAGTACGTTGCAAAAGCAGATTCTATGAGAAATTCCATACGTTGCAATAAAACAGATTCTATGAGAAATGGTAGCATCTATAATCATGTCAGTCCACAGCTAAAAGAACAAGGACAAAACACAAGATCAGTCTACAACAGGTGTGTGAAGGAAACAAAATAATAGGGAAAACATATGCCAGTCCTGTCTGAAAGAATTCTGCTTTTGCAATATAAGCAATACTTGTTTTAACTCAAAAAATACATAAAATAAAAATATGCCTGCCTTTAGTTGTACTGCTTTTTTTATTCAACAGAGCACCAACTGACTCTAGGATGCGTTAGTATTATACTAAGATACTTGTCACAACTCTTACAAGTTGTCTGTTACAACTCTTACAAGAGGTTGTTATTATAAGTGTGTTACTCTTACAAGAGGTGTGTGACCTCTCTTGGTCAAATACAGCCTTTTCAGTACAGAAAAATGGAAATACCAATTAGAGCTTCCCAATTCTGGGACAGTCTGCACAAGGCTTTTAATTACATTAGCTTTATTAATACTCAAGTTGTACCCACCACTGAGAAATCCCCACCATGAAACTGGAATTTTAGCCTTATTTAAACTATTTCACATATTTGACAGTGAGAGTGCATCCTGAAATTATTTTCCATTCACCTAGGAAACTTGGAAAAAAAAACCTAAGCCAAAACCTCAAAGCAAAAAATAAGGTTTCTTAAGCATGGTCATTTTCTCTTACAATAGACTGCTGCAATATAACGTGCTTAAACAGTTACTTGCCAAAAAAATACTAACAGAATTTCAAATTTTCATCAAAATATACCCAGACAGAGGCCTTAAAATTTACTGCAATAAACAAGAAAATAACCTTCCAAAGGTTCTCAAGAGATATGCCAGAAAAGTCAAAAGGACCAAGGGAGAAGGGAAGGGAGATGTATTGAAGAGCTGAACCAATCAATTTAAGAGGAAGCTGCAAGTTCACTCCTGAAACACCAGAGCAGTTTGATAGGTCAAGTAGTGATGGTTTTAAACTCCCAGAGAGTTGATTTAAATTAGATATAACGAAGAAGCTTTTTACAATGAGGCTGGTAAAACACAGACATGTTGCCCAGAGAGATGGTGGATGCCCCATCCCTGGAAACATTCAAGATCACATTGGAAGAGCTCTGAGCAACCTCATGTAGTTGAAGTTGTTCCTGCTCATTGCATGGGAATGGTGCTAGACAACCATCCTTCCAACCAAATATTTCTATAAGCCTATGATTCCCACATGCATTCAGGGACACAGACATCACTTAAAGTCAGGCACAAATTTTTACAAAAAAATCCAAACTAAAACAAAACAAGCTTTTATCCAAAATACTGAATTATTTCTTAATTTTGGATTCCTGTACTCATAATGGCTGTTAATAAAAAACAGTGGCAGTAGATAAGAGAACAACAAAGAGATTGTTCTCTACTCACTCAAGAATATACAAGAGAGAAAAGATTGTTACTTTTTAAAACAATCAGTGGGATACAGCTGACAAACTGCTGTAGCAAATAGGAGGGAGTAAAATATGCTAAAGAAGACTGGGGTGAAACATACAGATTATAGACATGGTAAAATTAGAGATGTTTGACAAAGGTGACAAATGAAAAGCTTTTCTTAACACAGTCTTTGAAAAGACCCATCAAATTCTTGAGGCACAATTCCCAAACTGTTTATAAATGCAAATGGTAAAACAGCAGGCTTTCGAAAAATACTTCAGTCCTAGCAGACCATCCTGACATTAAACCCTAATCTCCCTCTCCAGAACACCCAAAGAAGTATGCTGACCTTGCAGATAGGTTTGAAGGTCAAAGCCAAGTTCTGAGGAAAAAAGAAAACAAAAAAAAAAAAAAAAAAAAAAAGCACTTTCTCAGAATGAGCATGCTTCATTTACAGGAATTTCACATCACTCCACTTTGTAATACAGAGATGGTCAAATAAAGTAGCCAGCAATGTTCCTTAGTGAAAATAAGATACATTTCTTGATGGACACATTAACAAAAACCACAAATAAATACAGGAAAACCTACCTCTGGCTTTGGAACAAAGGCTTGACCTGGAATTATGAAACAGTTTTCCACAGTGCAGAGATGCTGAGCCATGATGGACAGTCTGCTGCGTTGGCTACTTCCTGGATTAGCTGTAAGTCTCTACGGGAAAATCAAAACATGTATATCAGTAATACTGAACTGACCACATGACCAGTTGTATTAAAGCCTGATTTTCAGTATAATCAAATTTAAGACACCAGTTAATCATTAAAAACTTGTATCAATTTGTATGCCCAGTTTATCTAAAATATTCTTATCCAATATAGCAGCATTTCAGTAAAATACCACGCTGATTTACAATCTCAGTCCTGCAACCAAATGCACATGAAAAAGAACTCCTAGAAATTCTGCAGATCTAAATGAATGTCAAAAGAATTTTGTATGGATACAAGAGAAAACTAAAGCTATTCTGACTGCAGAATTCAAAACAAACTTAACACCAGCTGAAAGTACTCTCACAATCCTTTCCTTCCCTGTTTCTGGATAAAATATTATGACATTTTTTTCTTCTTCATGATGAAACAAAGCTCCATAAACTCAATATAGGCTAGAAACCAAAAGTTCTTCATAATTAACTGGTCTACTCTTAAAATATTTGCCAGGAAGCTGGGTCTAGTTTACATAAATTTAGAATGCCTAACAGTGAGAGCATTTAATACTTAAAACTCAATTCGTGTATACTCTGATTTTCCCATTAATTTTTTTACAAAATAGTAGCTTGGACAGAGGATTCCTATGCTTTTCTGACCTGGCAAGAAACACATTTTATTGTGTTTTGCTTGCACAAACAAAATTGAAACATATAAAGCATCTTGTAAAACAAGTCTCAAATTACAGAAATCATTTCACTAACACACACAAAAACAGAATCATGATAATTCATGTTCTTATTCACCACCACCTCAATAAAAAAAAAACAAACTAAATCCCAATTTGCATATCTGGTAATATTTGTACAACATGTAGTTCCATATGAAAAGCCTACTCATGAAATGCTGCCATGCTTATTAAATTTATGCCTGAAAACTAAAAGTTAAACCTGTTGCCAAAATTTCACATTTTTTCAAATAACTCTTCCTAAAGGCAGTTCAGCACAGAGCAAATAAATGCTTTTCAACAACATTTTGGAAAGAATGCTCAGTGATTCTTTCTGCCTATGCCAGCATTTAAAGCTACCTTCATTGTTGTGTCAGAGGAAATTATTCTCTAAAAAAACCCAGACTGCAAAGTCTTAACAATGCAATCTGACACGCACTTCCTTAACCTCCGCAGTGGAAATGAAACTGACCTAATGGCAACACTTGTGTCCAGCACCAATTCAAACAAATCTATCTTTACTTCTCCCAGAAACCAACTACCAAGTCTCAGCCAGTAAGTTCCTGCTTCTCAATTACAGAAGGGATAATTTAACATCTGGAGAGTAACATCTTAAACCACTTCAACCACAGAAGCAGGAACACACTTGTGTACAGCACCCCTGCACGGGATCAGCCAGACAAACCTCCAGCATGGGCAGGGAGACGTGCAGCAAGGTCAGCTTGCTCAGAGACCTGCCCTGCCTGACCTTGAAGGTTTCCAGCGATAGGGCATCTACCCCATTTCTTGGCAACCTGCTGTTTCACTACCCTCACTGTAAAAAATTATTTCCTTGTATCTAAATCTACCTTCTTTTGGTTTAAAACCATTTCTCCTTGTTCTATAGCAACAGACCCTGTTAGAAGATCAATTTTAGAGTAAGTGGGCTGGAAGAACCTGGCCTAGGCGACAGATTTGAGATGAAACACTGAAGAATTTGGGACAAAAGTTCTTACCCACAAAGTGAATAGCAATTTTACAAATTTAAACTACAAAGAAAACAAATTATCTGTTTGACACTCAAAAATGCTATTTTTCATTATGTGGATATTTGGCCTTATCCTCCTTAACAGACCTCAGATTCAGCATATAAAATAACTGCTGGCTCTCATCAGCTTTAATCAATGTATTTATATCATATCAGAAGAGAGTGGGCTGCAGTAGTAGGTGTCTAGTGACATAACTCACACCAACATTGCTGTGCTACAAGGAAACAGAAAAGCAAGAAAATACAAAAGTATTTACTTCTCTGTTATACTGGGTCTGACCATAAATAAGAGTACATTGCTTCTCTTTTTTACTATTAACATCAAGGTATCCTAACTAATTATAAAGCACGTCACTCCATTCCATGATTCATCTTATGCTTTCGTTGTGCTTATGACACATACACAGACTTTCTTTGATATTTAGGCTCTTAGCTTAGAAGTATCCAGGCAGGACACCAAATTTCCCTATCAAGACTGCAAATCCAGAGATACAAAAAATATCAGTAGCAACTCACTATTATCACTGTTCTCTCTTTCCTGATACTGACTATGCCTGTACACACCTATTTACTGTGGTTATCTTAAGCAACTCCAGAGGGTCGGGAGAAAAGAACAGAGCCTAATTATTGTTCTTTCTCCTAATCATAAAATAAAATAGTACCTTTAAAACTATTTCTTTTCATGTTATCAAACCAATAATGGAAATGCAAACCAAAAACCATGAACAATTTTGCCTTTGAGAAAGACCTGTGTTGAACAAAATCAAGAGAACTCAGATTATAAACTCAACAACAACTAACACTGATTCACTGTGTGACCTTGAACAACATACTGCATTTCTTAGTGTTCCTAACTCCTCAGTGTTTTATGTACAAGACCTTAAGTATGCATGGTATTTTGCACCTAATTGAGCAATACTGGGTGCAGAAGAACCGTAATCTACATGTCACCAATGACATATGCAGCTGGGTACAGCAATATAAAGGACAGAATGCTCCCACACAGTGTTAGGTGAATTTTTGCTATCACAAAACTATGCATCTTACCTATCATCACTCTGCATTTTACATCACAGTCCATTAGTCATATTTTGCAACAAGGCTTAACCTCACGTGACATGAAGTCCTTCTGGGAAACAGACATGGATTCTGTCTGACACCAATTAAGTCCAGAACTGAACTAAGAAATCTGGTTTATTTCACACCAAATGTTTGTCCCTAGTGTTCTCTAGAGCTACCTACTGGAAATACTTCTTCAATCTTGATTGCAAGGCTAGAGCAATGATGGCACAATATGGGTTTTTTTGACCCCCAAAAATAACAGCAGACATTCTACTTGCATATATA